AATAACATTTTATATTCTTTGCATTTTCTTTATATAACATTTTCTTGCTTTATTGTAAGACTACAGTAGATAATACATATGATATACAAAATATGTGCTAATCAAGTGTTTATTATTGGTAAGTCTTCTGGTTAATAGCAGGCTATTAGTAGTTAAGTTTTGGGGGAGTCAAAAGTTTCATGAGGATTTTCAACTGAACTCGGGGGCAAGGTTGCCACCCTTAACCCCCTGCATTGTTCAAGGGTCAACAGTACATGAAATGTCCAGAATAGGCAAATCTGTAGAGACAGAAATTAGATGAGTGGTTGCCAAAGGCTGGGAAGGTGGAGGGTGGAATAGGGAAGGGAGTGACTACTAACTAACAGGTGTGGAGTTTTCCTAGCGGGGGATGGAAATGTTCTGAAGTTGGTTGTAGTGATGATTGCATAACTCTGTGAATATACCAAACACTTGTATACTTGAAATCGGTAAATTGTATGATATGTGGTCACATCTCAATAATGCTGGGTTTTTTTCAAAAACAATTCAATGGATGAAAGACAGTCTTTTCAACAAATGGTGCTGGAGCAACTGAATAACCTTATGCAAAAAATACAAGAACCATAACTTAAATCACATGTCTTACATAAGAATTAACTCAAAAGGGACCAAAGATTAGATTTAAGTGTAAACCCATAAAACTTGTAGAAGAAAACAGGAGAAAATCTTTAGGACCTAGGGATTGCAAGCATGATCCAGAAAAGAAAAAAAATGATAAATTGGACTTGATCAAAATTAAAAAGCTTTAGTCTGCAAAGACACATTAGTTGGATGAAAAGACAAGGTACAGACTGAGAAAAATTATTTGCAGTTGCATACCTTCCAAAGGATTCCTACATAGACTATACAAAGTGCCCTCAGACTCAACAGTAAAGAAGCTAACACTCTCAAAAATGGGCAAAAGGCATGAAGAATACCTCCAAGAGGATGTACAGATGGCAAATAAGTACCTGAAAAGATGTCCAGTGTCACTAGCCATTCAGGAAATGCAAATTAAGACCTGTTGAGATATCCCCACACAACTATTCAAACAACTAAGATTAAACATGGGGCCACATGACACCTGGCAAGGATTCAGGGAAACTGGATCTTTCATGATACAGCCCTTCTGGAAGATGGTTTGGCAGTTTCTTAAAAACTAGCCTATATTTACCTTATGACCTAGCAATTGCACTCCTGGCCATTTATCCCAAAGAAATGAAAACTTGGCTCCACACAAAACTCTCTGCACAGTTGTTCCTACTGCTTTATATGTAATAGCCATAAACTGGAAACAACCAAAATATCCCTCAATAAGTGAGTGGTTTAACCAACTGTTGTACATCCATACCACTAGAACACTACTCAGCAATAAACAGGACTGACACACACAACTTGGGTGGATCTCAAGGGCATTATGATGGGCAAGGGAAGACGATCTCCACAGGTCACATACTGCATGATTCCATTATATAACCTTCTCCAAATGACAAAATGATATGGATGGGAGAGTAGATGAATGCTTGCCAGGGGCTAGGGATGCTGGGGGTGAAGGATGTGTGTGTGCAACTATATAGGAGTGTCCGGGAAGATTGGGATGGTACAATAGTTCTGTAGCTTGATTGTTGTAGTGGTTTCATACTCTGCATGTGTGAGGAAATGGCATGCAATTATACATGCACCTTGTCAATGTCAGTTTCCACTTTTGATATTGTGCTACAATTATGTAAGATGTAGCTATGGGGGAAAACTAGATCTTTCATCTAGTTCCATCTAGTCATGGGACCTCTTTGTACTTTGCAATTTCCTATGAATTTATAATGTCTCAAAATTAAAAATTTTTTAAAGACCCAAACCACTTTAATTTCACTGAGAACTTTCCCCAGGGAGATGCTGACCCTTCTGCCTCAGGGGAGGGGTCCCAAGGAGCAGATCTGTACCCAGCCCACAGTGAGGAGCCCAGTCCAGCCCAGCAACTCCTGGATCAGCTGACCCCCACCGACCTGGAGAAGTGTTAAGAGAATATATGAGCGCTGTTTCAAGCAGCTGAGCTTGGAGGGTTTGTTTGGCAGCACTAATGTGACGATAGCTAATACACAACCACTTGCCTCACCTCCTCTCCACAGCCTATCATGGCAGCTGTAGCTGTCCTCTAACATCTATTCCTCCTACCTTTCTGTTACCCCAGAAGGATAGTATCTCTGATTTTTATCTGGTCATATGACTATCTGAGTTAAGACTACATTCCTAGACTGTCTTATGAATAGTAGCCATGTGATTAAGGGAAAGTGTCATGTGACAGTTTCTGGGCACCTTCTCTAAGAAATAACTGGCATTCACTTCTTGCCACCTCTCACAGATTGGAATGTGGAGGTGATGGCTGGAGCTCAAGCAGCCATATGGGATATGAGGTGGAAGTTATATTTTGAGGCTAGGAAAGCAATAAAATAGAAGGAATTGGGGCTCCTGCTGATCATGAAGATGCCATGCCAGCCCTGGACTGCTTATATCTGAATTTCCTTTATGTGAGACAGACATGAACTTCTGTTTTATGTTTTCTGTCACTCACAACAGAACTCAGTCTTTACTTTCACAGTGGCTTCTTATCTGGACTACCCTTCTCATGAGCTTTATCCTACAACCAACCATGGTAAGCGCTATATACCTTCCATCCATTAAATAAGTATTTATTAAGCACTTACTATGTGTCAGGAATGTGATAATGCTGAGGAAACAGTAAGGAGCAAGATACATGTAGTCCCTGAACCCAAGGACTTTACAGTTGAAAGGAGGAGTAGACAGCAATAAAATGAATGCATATGTTTAAATAATTACAATCCTTGCCAAGTGCCATGAAAGAAAAGCACAGATACTTTGTGAACAAACAATAGGAGCCCTCCTCTAGTGAGGGCTATCCTGGAAGGCTTCCCAGAGGAAGTGACATCTCAACCAAGCTCTGGAGGGCAAGGGAAAGAGAATACAGCCTAGCTCTCAAGAGCATGGGCTCTGGAGCCAGCCAGTCTTGGCTCAAATCCTATCTCCCTCTTGCCACTGTGCAACCTTGGGCAAGGTCCAATCTCTCTGTGCCTCAGTTTTCTTGTCTGAGAAAGAGAGATTTAGTTAATAAAACATTGTAAGCATTTATAATGACCAAGGACAGTTCTAAACACTTTACACATATCAACTCTTTTAATTCTCACTATAGGTACCTTACAGTACAAGTACTATTCTTATCCCACGTACAGATGAGTAAACTGAGGCCCACAAGGTGAAGCAAATTGACCTAGGTCATACAACTAAATAGAAGAGCTGAGAGTTACTCCAAGCAATCTGACTCCAGAACCTGTTCACAGAACACTACATTCTAGTGGTTAATAATACTAGCTCTTAATTCATAGGGTGGTTGTAAGCATTGAATAAGAAAATGTCAGTCAGGTACTTAGCTCAGTGCCTGGCAAATATTACGTGCTTGATAAATGATATTATTGTCAGTATCATTAATAACTAAGGGAGGAGGGAGTGTTCTAGGGGGAAGGAAGTGCACAGCAAAGGCCCTGAGGTGGAAGGGCACATGATGCACCTGAGGATCTGAACACAGACCAGAAGGGCTATATGCAGAGGTCACAGCCTTCTTCTGTTTTTCCTAACAATCCTATTAGTGGGAACTATTACTACCCCCTCTTTACAAATGAGGACACAGTGACTCAGGGAGGTTAAGCAACTTGCCCAGGGTCACATAGTGAATAAGCATCTGAGCCTGGACTTAAACCCAAGTCTGACAGCCTCCAAAGCGCACACTCCTAGGCACCATCCTCGATTGCCTTGCAGTGGACAGACCCTGGGGATCAAGCCAGGGCTTGCATCAAGAACACTTCAGAAGGAGAAGCAAATACCTGAGGTGTCACAGTCGGCTCCTGGAGAGAACTGAGAATGCTCTCCACCCATTTTTCAGATGAGGAAAGTGAGGGAAGGAACTTGCCCCAAGTTGGCAGCAGAACTGGACAGGGGTGCTGGGTTCCTTCCCCCCAGCCCAGGGTCAACTTTGCCTTTATTCCCTTTGGTTGTTTATATCTTCTCTGGGGTTTGCAAACTGAACACCCCCACCCCCACCCCCCGGGAGGGGCTGCAGGCTCAGCTAGTGGCAGAGGTAGGATGGGGTGTGGACCTCACCTGCAGGGAAGGCATGTAAATTCCAGCAGATCCTTCCTCAGTTCAGCCTGGCTAGAGGACTTGGAGGGCAGTGCCCCAGCGGAGAACCCAGGTAGGCTCCAGGGCAAGTGGTGAACAGACCGCTCTGGCTGACTGAATCGGCCCCTCCAGTCCTCTGGGGAAGTGGCTATGCTCTGTTTTTGGAGGTCTGACAACACACACACACACACACTTGGCCTGGGTCCCAGCCCCTCACATCACACGAAGCACCAGCTGCGCCTTCAGAAGGTCCTCAGACAGGAGGAAAGGCTTGCTTTTCCTTGATTTCCCAGAAGAAACTAACAGGAGAGGGGAGGGGCTCATCAAGTCACATGCAGGTTGGGACAGATCCAAGGGGGCCAGCTGCCTGACACTGAATGCGCCCTGAAATGGCAGGTAGGGCCCTGCTGAGCCTATCAGGGGGCCTGGGACCCAGCCCCACCCTCTTGGGGCCCTGCCCTCCCCTTTGAGTCACTGCTCTGCTGTCTCCCTCTCAGTTAGTAATTGGCCACAGGGCAAATGCGGGGGTGGCTTCCTCCTGCGCAGCTGGTTGCCGCTCAGCCTGACTTCACCTCTTGGATGCCTCCTTCACAGCCCCAGGCCTCCCTCCCTCTGCCCCCATGTGGGGGTGCCCTCTGTGGCTGGCCCTGTGCTGAGGCTTTACACATATTCATTAGCTGAGTCCATGTGAGTCCCATGAGGTGGGATTCTACTCCGATTTTATAGGTGAAATGACCACCCCTCAGAGAGGTAAAGCAATTTATCACCCAGCTCTGCTGAAAACTGAAATTCAACTTGGGACCAGATAATGTCCACACACTTGAGCCCACGCCGTTCACTGGCCTTCCTTAGAAAAGCTCTGCCCTCAAGCCAAGAAGAATCTGTGTACAAAGCCCACATCCAGGCCACTGGATGCCTCAGACTGGCTGGAGGTAAGGCTGCCTGGAAGTTAGGGATTGGGGGCCCAAACCCTGCTCAGCCATCACATACTTGAATACTTTTTCTGAACTTTAACTTTCTTATTTGTAAAATGAAATCCATACTCAGACCCTCACCCAAGCCTGCCGTGAAGCTGCTGGAGATGAGGCGTGGAGGCCCTTGGCGTGTGGCTCTGTGCAGCAGCAGCTATTCGTTTTTTACCTGCAACCTGGCCCTGCCCTCCTCCAGCCCTAGCTGTGTCCCGTCCCATCCAGGCTGAGCAGGCCCCGGTCAGACTGCCAGCTCTTCCTCACCTGCCCACCAGCTCCTCCAACCCAAGGCAGGGGCATCTGGCAGCAGGGGCCCAGAGCACCCCCTTCCCGCCTGCCTGGCCCAACTAGGGAGAGGACAGGCAAGCCAGATGTTTCACAGATGTTGCCAATTGTAAGCAAAACAACAGCACAGGAGTGATTATTCCGGGGCCCAGGGTCTCGGCTTGAGTGCCTGATAGCCCCGAGAGAGAGGCAGGGGCCCCAGGCAGGCTTCGTGGAAGGAAGGGAAGTCAGAGAGACTTTCTAGGGCAAGATATCAGTGGAGGTACCTAGGGAGGGGGTGGTAGGCAAAGGGGCCAGGGGAGCAGGCCAGGGAGCTGGGAGTAGTTGGTAGGCTGAGGGGAGCAGGGAGGAGTGAAACCAGAAAATGGGGCAAGCCTATGGGGGCTGCCTGGCAGAAAATCTCTGGGGTCTATGGCTGACCACCTCCATTGCCCCTCCCCACCCCAGGACTCCAACTTCAGGGAGAAAGAATTTTGGTACCCCTGAGAGTTTCCCAGGCCCTTCTGATAAGCTATGGGAGATAATGAGCTCCCTGTCACAGAAGGGATGCAAACAGAAGAGAGCCAAGCACCCGGCAAAAGTTTGGGCCAGAAGGTCTCTTCCAGGCTAGAGAGTCCAGGAGGTCATATCTACGCCAAGCCAGACCAAGAGTCCAAAAGCGTGAGGGGCCTCGCCTGTCCCTGAAGGACTCTGCTGAAGTTGGCACCGGCAGGCCAAAGCTGAATTCACTCCCACTGGTATGTGAGTTGCATGACTGTGTCCTGTCCCCTTTCCACCCTGACACCCTATTTGCCAGCTGACCCCAACTGCTTCAGCCAGGCCACCACTGGGCAGCAGTGTGGGGACAGGCTGTTTCTGACTTACTCCCTGGAGCAAAACTGTTCCTGGAAGGACAGCGATCTGAGGTCTGAGACTCAAGGCTCCCTGTCCACGCTGATCAGTAAGAGCCCAGGCCTGGACAACTGGAGAACCAGTTTGCCACCTCCCTGTGACCCTGGATAATGTCACTAACAGCAGCTCGTGTTGAAGGAGCACATACACTAAGCTAAACTTGCCACAGGCACAACCTGACATAATCATTGTGACTCTGGGGTAGGTGAATTTATAGGTGAAAAAAACTGAGGCAAATTGCAGTCACATGATTCCTACAAAGATTTGTAGCTAAGTAGTAATTAGTGAAGTCAAGGGCTGAGTCCTAGAGCCCGACGCCAGGGCCTGGGCCTGTCACCTCTGCACAGTGGGGCTTCCTCCCCCGACCTCAGTCTTCCCCTCTGCGGTCGCAAAGGGACCTGGACATACTGCCTTCACAGCTCCCAGATCCCACACTGACCAGACTGAATCTGCCAGACAGAGATCAAGAAGAGGCCTGTCCCTTCCTCACATGGGGAAGAAAAATGGGGAGCCACCCCAGCACTGTCCAGGCGAGCGGACTGAGGCCTCGGGGATGAGGGCTGTGCTAAGGTCCCCAGGGAGCCCAGGCGGGGCCCAGAGCAGGAGGACGCGGGCACCTTTCCAGCCTGCTCTCCAGCTGCTCCACTCAGCCGAAGCTGCTCTGCTCAGCCGAAGCTGCTCTGAGGCCAAGGGACCCGGGTGTGAGTAATGGAAACCAGGCAGTGGGCCTTCGGAAATGGGAATTCCATCTGCCTGACTTTGTTCTTCTGGACTTTGGTTTCCATGGCAACTTGGGGGTGAGAAGGTAAAGGGGCTGGCATGCCATGAAATCCCTGGAACCTAAAGAAAGGGGAAGGTGAGTCTCCTCATAGGCGTGGGGTCTCCTCCAAGTGGATGACATCACAGAGGCCAGGCTGGGACCCAAAGTCTCAGACTCTGTCACCAGCTCTGCCACTAGCCATTCTGGGGGGAACGGGGGTGGTATTGCACTCTTCTCTAGGCCTCAGTTTTCCCAGCTGTCAGGTCCCAGATCTCAGGGTTGGACAACACCAGAGAGGTGCCCCTGCTCCAGATTAGGAGTACATCTCTGCTTCCCCACCCTTCTAACCTCATCAAGGCACTGGCAGCTGCCCTTCACTGTTTGCAAAGCCCAACAGGGCTCACTGGCCAGGCCCCTAGCACGTAGAAGAAGACCCAGTCCCACTCCTAGAAGAGCTCATACTCCAGTGCTTTAGGGAAAAGGCTTTAACAGTGATTGAATACCTACTGTATGCCTGGCTCCAGGCTGGGCCTCCAGAGGTCATCATTTCTGATGCTCTCCTTGTGCAGGGTGACACACAGAGGTGGCCTTGCCAGGGAGACCAGTGAGGGCAAGCAGGGAGGAAGGTGGCTCTGCAGGCCCATGTCCTTTTCATCTCCTAGGGCCTGGTGGGAAGACCTGAACCCAGGATCCCAGGCAGGGACCAAGATCGAAGAGGATGGTGCTCAGCCCCTCCTGCACCAGTTCCTTCCAGCTTCATCTAAGTCAGTCCAGTCGAGCCAGTCCCCCCACCAGCCCTGCCCTGGCCTCTACCCCTGGACCCTGGAAGGTTATGTATGTGGGCATCAGAGACTAGCTTTGGCTTCAGCTTGGCCTGGGTTCTGGGCTCTCTTCCACCCTCTTCAGGCAACTGGTCCAGGGCCTCCCCTGAAGTACGGCTTTGGACCAGATCTTCTCTAAATTTGTATCTGCTGTTAGGTACAGAAAAGGAAGCCTTCCCCAGGGCCACAGAAAGACTCTCTGTAAGCCCTAGTCCCTGTCACTTGCCCAGTTCTTCCTTCTGTCCTGGAGGCCTTTGAGGGCCTGCCCATCAGTAGCCACTGCCATGCCTGAGATGCTGGCCTCATCCACCAACCAGCCCTAGGCCACCTGAAAGTTCCACTAGAATCTCAGGGTGTAGCAAGGCAGAAAACAAAGAAACTTGCTGAAGGTCATATAGCCAGTTGATGGCCAGGCCAAGACTCCAGTCTGTAGCTGGTAGAGGAGGGCAATCCAGGGTATAGGCTTCACAGCCAGTAAAGCTTGAGCTGAACCCTGACTCTGCCACTTGCCGGCTGTGTGACCTTGGACAAGCCACCTTACCTGCCTGTGCTTTACTCTCCTCACCTGTAAAATGGAGAGAACCCCCTCTTCCTAGGCTTGTGGTGATGAGATGATGGAAGGAGGACCGTGGCTGAGCACCTGGCATAGAGGCAGCAGTTCTCCCTGGTGTATGGTGCATACGGCTCCGGCATGGGAGGCAGGTGACGGCAAGAGAAGCTGGACCGACAGCCCCACTACCAACCCTGCCAGGCCCTGGGAAGGCTCAAAGCCAGAAATACGCAGAAAGGGTTAAGAACAAGAAATAACACAGGCCTTTTATTTGCTCTAGAACTTGGCCACTGTGTGGTCTGACGGTGCCATGCTTTCCTGGATCCCCTGAGGGACACCTCACTCAGGGGGTGCTGATTTCTGCACGAGGTGAGACTACAGCGCCCACCCCTCCAGGCCTCATCAGTCCACAAGGCCCAGCAGCCCACCACTGATGCCCAGGACCAGCAAATCCCCTGCAACTGGAAAATGGTGTCCACCTTCTCTGCAAGGTGGCTTTTCACAAGGCGTTGGTTAAAATATTGCACTTGTAAATTAGGAAAACTGAGGAGGCAAAGGTTTCCTAATACAGGACGACGTGCCAGGCATCCAACTACTGTTTAAATAAATAAAACTCACAGCAGGGGTCTGAGCTGCGAGACCCAGTGGCCCCCATGGAGAGCGCTGGAGCTCACAAATGGCCCCCTGCCCCAACAGCCAGTTCTTCAAGAACTTGGTCAATGCCAAGTCTCCACAGCAGAGAGCAACAGCTCCAAATCTGGCTCAACCAGGGCCCCTGACCTGCCAGGGCCCGTGGGCCCCCTCGTACCGGGGCAGTGGGGACCCAGCAGGGCCAGTCCTTCTATGCCTCCAGGGGCATGGGCCTCTCTTGGTCCAGGCCTCTCATCCAAATGTCCGTCTGTCTGTCTGGAGACGCAGCCTCCAGGGGCTTGCTTGCCCCCTCCATCACAGCAGGGAGGGAGGCAGGTGGGGAGTGGGCCCAGCCCGCCTGGTGTGAATGCTGAGCTCTACTCTAGTTGCCCCTAAAGTGGGGGACTCATCTTCTTTTGGTTAATGAGGTCCAGGTAGAGGTCAGAGCGGAGGAAGCGTGGGTATGAGTCCTTTTCCATAAGCCCAAAGATGCGCTTCTGCGCCAAATCAAAGCAACCCCGTGTGACGCTCTGCAGGTTGTCCTTGGTGTGCTCCCGTGTGTACGAGTCCAAATTCACCTGCAGAGGCAGAGGGCGTATAGTCAGGGCTGCCTGCAGGTGCCTGACCCTGTAGCCAGGAGCCAGGAATGGGACTTACCCAGCCTTCCCCCTTCCAAGCCCTCTGATCCATGTCTTAAGGTTCAGAATAGAGGCCCTCAGGTCAGCAGACTCAGTCCTGGCTCGGCCATTTACTGCAAGGGTGGTAGAGTTTATAGTGCCTAAAACACCACCTCTGAGTTCAGTCTGTCTGGTGTGAATCCCAGCAGGGTCATACCTAGGTGTGTGACCTTAAGTAAATCACTTACATGCTCTGAGTCTCACTGTCTTATCTATAGGCTAGGAATCACAGCACATCCCTCAAAGAGTAGGGAAGTAAGCAAGATCAAGCACATTAAACAGATGTGGATTAAATCAACAGACCGTCTACTGTGACTTTGCACACAGTTCCTGTCACTCAGTAGGCACACAATAGTTGTCAGCTACTATGATTAGGCTCTCTGAGACTGTCCTCATTTTTAACATGAAGTTAATGTTAAAAACCTATTTTACAGGTTGTCATGAGAATTAAACATGAGAGTGCATGCACAAAGTGCTCAGCACATACCTGGCACACAGTGCCTCCACAGTGGCCATTCTGTTACCAATGGAATTCTGTTCTTCCTTGGGCACCAGCTTGCTTCCTCTCCACCCTGGGCACATGGTCCCTAAGAGTCACTCTGGCCTCTCCCCTTCCTAAACATCTCCTTGAGGCTTCCAGGTACCCACAATCCCTGAGAGACCACTGGGCATGGGGACCACTATATGCCTGAGGCCATACCTCCTTGCATGCCTGGATTGCAATGTACTCAGCGAAGATCTTCTTGGCCTTGGCTGCCATCTTGGACTGTGACTTGACCTTCTTGAAGTCTTCACATGCCAGCCAGAATTCCAGGTTCTCCTCACTAAACTCAGTGCGAAGGAAGGCCTGGAACACTGCTAAGCCATCTGTGAGGAGAAGCCCAGACCCTGGGGTGAGAGACAGAAGCAGCAGCCTCCACCCTCTGGACCCCCAGCCTCCTGGAGGCCTCCAGGGTGCAGATGCTGAAAGCTTCTTAAGACGCCCCCTCCCGAGAGCCAGGAGCCCTGCGACGCAGTCCCACCCCTGCTGTTGCCTGTTTGTGAGCCTTGGCTAGTTCTCTACCTTATCTCGGCCTTAGTTTTCTCACTTGTAAAATGGGGATCATCTGCCCATCTCCTGGAGCCCTGGGAGGATCAGAGGGATCCTTCCTGAGCGTAAGGGCACATCTGGCCCAGCCTAAGCTCTCAGTACATGGAAATGTTTATTGTTATTCTGGGAATGTGGCTCTGAGCACACAGGTCCCAAAGGCCTCTAGCAGGCACTGCCAGCTCCCGTGGACAGGGCGGGGCTGCCAGAAGTGGACTCCAAGGCCAGACCAAGGCCTTGCCTCTCCCAACAGCAGGGACATCTGACTGGGCCCAGGAAGGAGGGAAAGGCAACCTCCCAGGACCAGATGCATTCTCTGGGCCTGGGAGAGCAGGAAAGGAGAGAGGGAGAAAGAGAACACAGGGAGGGAAACAGGCTACTGGCCCCACTTACATTTGTGAAGCAGCAGCTTCTCCAAGGACTCACCCCACTTGAGGGCTTCCTCCGAGGTGGGCCTGAGGGGCAAGGGAAGGGGCACTGTGAGGCACCAAAGGGGTTCGGAAAAGTGGGTAGCTGGGGCTGGGTGGTCTCTGTTAGTAGCCCTTAGCCCAGGCAGTGGCCGGGCAGGTTGGGGAGCCCAGGACCTGTACCCCCTTTCTTGAGGCTGGCATTTCCAGCCCCTACCTCCACCCTGCCTGGCTGCAGCTTGCCAGGTCCAGGACTCCCTCAAGGGGGCCTCCATCCAACCCAGAGCTGGATGGAGCCAACAAAATCCCTTTCCACTCGACCCCACCGCCAGGTCTGTGCACCCCTGCCCTCCAGGTGCCTGAGGGGTCCCATGGGTGCTGGGAGGACCTACTTGAATGACTTCGTCATTTTGTCTGCCTTGCCGGTTGGCTGGGCCCCAGGGGACTCGTTCCGCCGCCTAAAGATGCCCAGCTTGTTCTTCATGTCCTTGGCTCTGGGGGCAGAAGCAGAGAAGGGGGTTGGTCAGCCTGGCACAGTGGGCCCCTGCAAATCCAGGGTGGAGAGGATGTGCGCTGGGACGAGGGGCACCTACTCCTTCATCGTGTGCCGCCTCTGTAGGTTTCCGTTGCGTGTGAGGTACATGCCTCGGAGCATCTCTGTAGGGCGCCCCACAGAGGGAGCACCAACGCTCCCAAGCTCCGGCTGCCCACCCCGCGTCCCGGGCAGAGAGCAGCAATGGTGCCGCAGCCCGGCGCTCGCTAGGATCCCAGCCGGACGACTGCACTCCCCGGTCGGGCGGCGGGGACTCACACTGGAGAAGCCAGGAAATGGGAGGGGCCAGGATGGAGAGCAGAAAAAAATTTCCCTCTCGGCCAACCCTGCGAGGGAGCCCGTGAAAGGGGCATGTGTCTGCGAGGGGCAGCCTCTGGGGCCCGCCCCGGCAGAAAGCCAAACCCAGTTATTTGTGACCGGCCTCTCTGTTGCCATGGCAGCGCCCAGGGGAAGGAGGAGAAAACAAGTCAAAAAATTGCTGGTACAGAGGGAGGAGAGGCTCTGCCCACCGGAGTGGCAGGCCTGGTTATTTTTAGCCCAGAACCGTTTTTAGCTTTGCCACTCCCCCAGAATGCAGCAGATTTCAGCACTGGCCGAAGGATTTGGCAAGAAAGGGGTTAAATCTCCCGTGCTCACCTTCGTCACCCCTTTGTCCTAGACCCTCTACACTGGGCACCTCCAGAGAATAGCTCCTGGCAGCTGGCTTCAGCCTCAGCGATTGGCTTTGGGGACAAGCATCCTTGAATATGCAGGATGTCCCAAAAATCTTAGTACAATTTTAAGCTTGAATAACTTCAGCAGTGCAAGTCTTACAAACTTTCAAAGACATCATTTGAAGGTTGAGTTACTTTCTCTCTGCACATTTAGTTCTGTGATTTTTGAATGATTAATTCTTTATTTTTTGGTCTCTGTCCTGATTAAAGATGAAAAATGCTGTCTGAAACCAAAAGTTAAAAGTGTATTATCAAAAATCACAAAGTTAAATGACTGTAAAAGAAATTTTACTGATTTAACTTTAATATGTGTTTTAAGTTTGTAGCATTTATACTCCTGAAGTTACTCAGCTTAAAGCAGCACTGAGACCTACAGGGACACCTATATAAGTCCAGCTGACCCCGAGCAACATGGGTTTGAACCACGTGGGGCCACTTACACGTGGATTTTTCTCCATAAATATATTGGAAAATTATTTGGAGATGTGTGGCCATTTGAAAAAACTTACAGACAAACTTCATAGCCTAAAAATATTGAAAAAATTAAGAAAAGATTGGATATGTCATAAATGTATAAAATATATGTAGATACTAGTCTATTTTATCATTTGCCACCATAAAATCAATAGTAGTCTATTAGCAGTTAAATTTCGAGGGAGTCAAAAGTTTTAAGAGGATTTTCAAATGTGTAAGGGCTCAGCACCCCAACCCCTGCTTTGCTCAAGGGTCAGCTGTAATGAAAGGAAGTGGTACCTGGTGGAGGTTAGGAGGGAGGCTCTGGAGCCAGACAGCCTCAAGCTCAAATCCCAGCTCCAGCTGTTACCAACTGTGTGCCCTTTGTCAAGTTACCTAACCTCTCTGAACGTGCAAAGTTTTCTCATCTGTCAAACTGGAAAGGTAACAGCACCTACCATCTGCTGGGGGTGGTTGTGAGAACAAGGAGAAAGTGTATATAAAGCTTCAACACAGTGCCTTGGGCAAAAGTGCTCAGGCTTAGGAGCTGAGATCCACATGGGGCTCTGGGGCAGCTGCCCAGGGAAGGGAGCCCTGTTCTAGCAGGTTCCAAGGCAATGAGATAAGGTCAAGAAGTCCAGGGATTGGCAGCCGTCTGGTTGAGGACTGGGACCCTCGGAAAGCCCTGGGATGGCTGGGAGTGAGCGTACCAGCTTCCTGGGGCAACTGCTCTGTCTGAGAGCCCTGGCTCCAGGCCCACCATCCAGGTAAGGATACAGAAGCCTAGAAGGGAGGGGGGAGCTTGCCTGCAGCCCAACCTGCAGGTTTCATCCATCCACCTGGGCTCCTTGGCTGCTCAGAACCAAGCCTTTCCTCCCAGATGCA